ACTAGCCTTTGTAGATCAGGCTGGCCTCAAACTCACAGAGATTCATTCGCCTGCCTCTGCCTCCCGAGTACTGGGATTGAAGGTGTGCACCACCACCACTCAGCTTTTTTTCTTTTGAGACAGTGTTTCTCTATAGATTTGGAACCTCTCCTGGAACTAGCCCCTGTAGACCAGGCTGGCCACACATGACTTTTCTTAAAAGATTTTTTAGCCTTTATTTTTATTTGATGTAAATGGTGTTCTTCCTACTGTGTACCTGTACATCGTGTGTGTTGGATCCCCTGGGAGTGGAGAGAGAGACAGTTGTGAGATGCCATGTGGGTACTGGGAATTGAACCCAACTCCTCTGGAAGACCAACCAGTGCTCTTAATCCCTGAGCCATCTCTCCAGCTCATTTTTCTTAGATTTATTTATTTTTGTTTGTATGTGCATGAGTGCCTACATTAGATCCTTTGGAACTGGAATCACAGGTAGCTGTGAGCCACCATGTGGATGTTGGGAATCAAACCAGGTCCTCTGTAAGAGCAGTAAGTCCTTTTAACTACTGAGCCATCTCCTACTTGGGGCTCTTTATGGGCTAGTTGGATCTGAACTTGGGCCTTCATATTTGCACAGCAAGCACTTTCACCCATCCTGCCTCTGAGCGTTTTGATGAGGAGATAAAATGATCCTGTCATTCACCCCAGAACTTGTCTGTCCGCTCTTCAGCAGGATTTAATTTCTTGTTTGTAAAACCCTTCAGATTCTGGCTTCAAGTGGATTTGCTTCTATCCTGAGATATCACCAGCTGACTTAAACTGTCTACACAAATTTCTCTCTGTTGGGATTGTCCCTTCTCAGCTGGGTACCCACCCCCCTTGATTGAGACAGCCCTCTGTGGCTTGTTCCAGGTCACTCCAAACGTTCTCTGAAAACCTCCTTTGTCCTCACCAGCCATCCACTTCAGAAGCTGTGGTGTTATTTTGAGGCAGGGCTTGGGATGCCATATAGAATAAAGCTATGATTGTATTAAAAGCCAGAGGAGGAGAAGCAGCTAATACAAACACCAGGAGTTTCTGAGCACACGCTGTACCAAGGAGAAATGGGACAATGCCTTTGTTGGCCCTGATTTGTTTCTGGGGACTGAGCGCTCATATGCTGTCCTGGCAGAATTGCCAGTGAGGTTGACGGGGTTCTTGTTTGGCAAAGTTACTAAATTGTGGGACCCAGGGCTCTCTCTCTCTCTCTCTTGATAGGTCCCAGGCTAAGTGCTTACCATTCTTTGTAGAAGGGAAAGGGCCCATGGGTCTTGCTCTAAAGGTAGATAGTTTATTCTAGACCAAGTAAGTTTGACCATGCCCCAAGGAGCATGGGTCGAGTGTACTCGGAATGACATGTTCTACTGTGGAAGTTCATGCATGGTTCTTTTCTTTCTTTTTTTCCTTCCGAGGCAGGGTTTCACTATATAGCCCTGGCTGCCTCAGAACTCACTATGTAGACCAGGCTAGCTTCCTAGACACCAATTTCTTTCCCAGTGTTGGGATTAAAGGCAAGTTTACCACATCCTGACTTAGGTAAACTTTTATAGTCTTAGAACAAAGGAAAGTCATAAATCAACGTGTTTACCAAATGCATTCATGGGGACATAGTCAGGCTATAGCAAAGTGGGGACATCTCTGCTATAGGCCTCAGATGCTCTCAGATGATGGTTTCAGCTTTCCAGTTGGTGGAAGCTACTCCTTTGGTGAGTTAACACATCCTAAAGATTTTGCTTGATTGTCAAAAGGAAGTTAGATACCAAATACATAGGTATCTTACCATTTATTTATTTATTTTCGTATTTTAGAGACAGGGTTTCTGTGTAGTGCTAGCTGTCTTGGAACTCTCTGTTGACCAAGCTGGCCTTGATCTTCCTGTCTCTGCTGGGATTAAAGGTATGCATCACCATGTCCAGCAATAAATGACTGTTAAGGGAACTAAAGATAACCAAAGACAACCTGCAACATTCCAATATCACAAAGTTGTTGTAGTGGCATTTCATCTGTATTTTAGTAAATAAAACTTGCCTGAGGATTAGAAAAGTAAATCAGACACACTGGTCAGTCTTGCAGACCAGGCCGCAATAACGCACACCTTTGATCCCAGTAGGGACACTAGTTTGCCATAGAAACCAGGCGGTAGTGGTGCACACTTTTAATACCAGAACTAGAGAGGATTATAAAATGGGAGGAGACAGCTCTCAGTCTCAGTCTCATTCTGAGATTCCTGGAGGCAGGTTCACCATTTTTGTACTGAGGTCAAGGTAAGAGCCAGTGGCTGGCTACTTTACTTTTCTGGTCTTCAGGTTGAACTCCAACATCTGTGTCTGAGCTTTTATTAATCGTGCTTCAAGTTGTAATGATTTTGACTGTGGAATCTTAACAGAGACAGAGACAGGCTTTTCCAGCGAAGTGCAGTTCCCAATATGTAGAGCCACTGGGGGTATCCCACAAACTTCCGTGTTTTTCTCAGTGCTCAACCCTAGAAATCCAAGTTTCTCTCAATAATTTCCAACCAACACCACAGGCTTTTGCTATGATAAACTTCCCATGTTCCCTCTTCACCTCCATGTTGCTCTCAGTAGACAGAGTCATGCTCTGGGTCTTAGGTTATGTCAAGAACTATTCCTCACCACAAGGAGCACTGAAATGAAACAGGAAACTGAACAAAAACAGGCAGGCCTCAGCTGAAAACAAATGCTGGAACTTTCCACCAAAAATATTTCCCATAGTTCACTTTCTTTGGTTTTGATAACTACTACAATTTGGATCATTTCGGCCAGATGCCTCTGACTGACCAGGAAAGTAAGTGAATTTTCACATGGCTTTTTAGGAATGCTGGTTCTTCTTTCTCTCCCTCCCTCCCTTCCTCCCTCCATCCCCGTCCCTCCTTCCCTTCCTCTCCTCCTTTTCTTCCTCCCCTTCCACTGTGGAAAGGACTAAAAAAAGTGTCATTTTAACGCAAACTCAGGAGTTTGGGATGCATCATATAATTATGGATATTCTGTGGTTGTTGTTTCATTGAATAGTAGAGGAAGACCTGAGGGGAAAAGAAGAGAATTAGCATTTACAGAGCTCTTAAGGACCTGGATCCTGAGAGTCCCATCTAACTCTCATAGCTGCCTGTGTCCCTAATTGCTAGGCTATGAAACCGTTTTATTGTGTGTGCATGTGCGCACATGCTTGAGGCCCGAGGGACAACTTTAAGGGAGCTGGTTCTTTCATCTCACTCCACGGAGGCAGAGTTTCTCATGTTTCTGTGGAAGCAGCAGCACTGAGTACTCTAGGGTAGCAGAGCTGAGGGCTTCAGGATGACTCTCCTGCTGCTGCCTTCCATCTCGCTGTGGGAGTGCTGCTGGGGAACATCTGGCTTTTCATAGATGTGCTCTGAAGGCTGAACTCAGGTCCTTAGGCACGAGGGGCAGGTTCTTTTGCCTACTGAGTCATGTAATTGGCTCTTCTATGGAATTTTCTTTTGATATTTGTTTTTAATTCATGAGTGTTGTTTAACTTGGGTTCTCTATAAGAGCTGGCTTTGCTCTTAACTACTGAGTCATCTCTCCAGTCCCACTTCTATGGAATATTAAGAGATCCATTTTGTTAACGTGGCCCAATTGTTAAAATAAATACAATATTCAAGAAGAAAATGTTAGATATCTATAGATCAGTCATTTATAGTTTTATTTGCATTTTCTGTTTTAATGAAGAATAAAAGAGTATGTAATGGTTTTAGGCAGTTCCTAAATGTAAATGGATTGACAGTTTTGCCCACCTCAGACTCGGACCTCAGTGCTCCCATGAGACAGATGCATTTAAAATTGTCGTTAGCGCCCTTTCAGTCTTCTTTCCCCAGTCAAGGCAGACTGCTCCGAAGGAGATAAAAGACAGTGCTAAAGGCCCAACTCTTCGTACTATGCCAGAAGAAACTCAAGTTAAATGAGACTCTGGTAGTTATTTTGGGTTGGTTTCAATTCCGCATTTTCCACTTTTGTTTCTAGAAAAAGTGTGGCAGATAGAGCCCTTTGTGAGTCCCAGTGCCAAATCTAGTCACCATTTTTTAGCAGGCAAAACTCGACAAACCTAACAAGTTTGGGGATTGGAAAATGTGTGTCTCACAGTACTTAAGTCATTGCTAGATGGGTAGATGACCCTCTAACTTCTTGGCCTTAGGAACAGAAGTTCCCCTGACAGGCAAAAGGGACGAAGGTACATTTTAAAGAGTTGGGAGTAAAAAAAAAAGGGGGGGGGGCTGGAGAGATGGCTCAGTGGTTAAGAGCACTGGCTGCTCTTCCAGAGGTCCTGAGTTCGATTACCAGCAACCACATGGTGGCTGACAACCATCTGTAATGAGATCTGGCACCCTCCTCTGGCGTGCAGGCATACATGGAGGCAGAATGTTGTATACTTAATCAATAAATAAATCTTTAAAAAAAAAAAGAGTTGGGAGTAATGCCTTGACCATTTCCACCATGCCAGCAAATAAAAGTTGAGAATTCAGCACGGCCGGAGGCCAGCATAGGAACCATCGATGTACGCAGAAGACTGCCCTCGCTCGTAAGGGTCATAACTCGTTCGTTGCACAGGCTATTTACGGGTGCTCACGCTTCTGAGGTTTCGCCTTATGTAAACCCTGCTTAGCTGCAGAAGCCAGACCATATGGGGTCATCAGTGTGGATCTGAAAACATCCCACCCTACCTCTTTAAATGTCCTCCTAGTTTCTCTACTCCTCTGGGCCACGTAACTCTCTACGTTACTAAAATATGCTCCACATTTCTATTTTGGGTTCCTCCTGCGAGTGTGGTGAGGCTGGAAGACCCTGACTTACAACAGTGTCTCCAGAGCCCTTACCCCGTAGCCCGCAGCGCAACTGCCAGTTGGCGCACTTCCTGCCGGGAGGAGGGCGGGGCGGGACGCCTCCTTGCTTAAGCCCCGCCCCCAGCGTCCTGCGCCCCCCCCCCCCCCGCAGGCGAGGCTCCGCGGGGGCGGGGCTGGGAGCCGTGGGCGGCGTGGCGCTGCTAGCTGGGCGCGGGGCCGGAGGGGCTGGGGATCTACCCTGCTCTGCGCGCGGAGCTGCGGTGTGCCTCTTGGGAAAGCCCAGCCTTGCGGACAGGAGAAGCGGCGGGCGGCGGCGGACCCCTCCGACTGGTACAGGGCCTCGAGCCGAGCAGGGCCGAGTGCTGCGGGGGGAAGCAACCGCGGCGGCGGGTCCCGAGCGCTGCGCGCCATGGCGGGCGGGCCCCCCAAGGCCCTGCTGTCCACGGGGCCCCAGTCCCTGCGCGACATGCCGCACCCGCTGGCCGGCTCCAGCAGCGAGGAGGCCGTGGGAGGCGACAGCACGCCCAGCCCGGACCTTCTGATGGCCCGCAGCTTCGGTGACAAGGTGGGGTGCTTGGGTCTGGGGACTCCTGGGGCGGAGAGAGGAAGGGTAATGGATCGAGGGCCACCCCTAACACCGGGCCGTGCTCACTCTAAAGCCCCTTTCCCGGGGATCAGGCGTGCTCTGGCCCCTAGATCCCTTGACCAAAGCGTGTCCTCTTGCTGCCCCCGCGGGGTCGCAGCTGCTGCCTGAGTGGCCAGAGGGCATGTGTTTCCCTGTCTGACTGAGACTGGCCCAGAGCGCGGGTGACAGCTGGTGGGGAGGGGTTCAGGTTGCAGCATGCATGTGGGGGCCCGGGGCTTGTGCTGCAGTACTGGTCTTTGGAAGGGTGGTCCATCATACCTCTAGGTGCATTTCTTGAAGAGGACTGCGGAATAGGAATAACTTGTTGGCGCCTCCAGTTTCTGGATACTGCAAAGAAGCAATAGTTAATGGCTAATGGCTTTCCGGGGTGGGACTGAGCAGTCTTGCTCTTCTCCCCAGTCAGTCAGTCATGTGGGGAGTGATCTTTGTTTAGGTTTGCTGTTTGCCCCAGGAGTCACCTGACTTCGACCTCAGTGGCTGCGGGAGGAGAGTCTCGCTGTGGTTTTCTGTCTGGGGCTTCATTCACCTTCTTTAGCCGGCCACATTGATTAGGGTTGGCAGTGGTAGGTTTTGTGGTTGGCGGAAAGCAAGCTCGCCCTTTGACCTTCTTTGTGCATAGGGAGGCACTTGGTTTTAGAGCTGCACTACCCTCCTGCTGCTTTGAGAGACTGCAAAGTCCAGTGAGGAGGAAGAGGCAGCATCTTCCCCGCCCCCACCCACCATTTCAGCTGTGACCAGGATTTTGAGCACTACCGCTGCCACTTAGTCATGAGTTGTAGACATTTCAGTTGTTCTTAGTTAGCATTTGAGATCAGGGTTTCTTCCTCCTCCTAAAATACTAAGTGAATTCCCCTTTTCCCCAATATTAATGGAATCGAGAGACTTAATTTTTCTTCTTCCCTTAGATGGGAGGGCATATGGAAGGGTAACAGTGCCCATGAGACAGTGTGACTTGATAGCCTCAAACCTTCAGAATAACCGGGGAGTGATATATATTGGTAAAGCATAAGCTGTTGAAATTGACCGATTGAACAGCTCAAAATGTGTTCTTGAACGTATGCATTACCTATGTGGTTATTGTTTTTTTTTTATAGATTTTAAATTATATGAAAACATAGGCAGCTTGCAAACCCTTTACTTATGTTTGACATTCAAAAAGTGATTGTCGAATGCCTGAAAGATAATTTTTTTTTCTTATTAGCAGAGAAATTTTTAATGGATGTCAAATGAGAACTAAAGTTAAACCTTCAATTGTTGTCTTGGTTCTACGTTGGAAATGGAATTATTTTCTTACAGCTGTGTAACAAATGAACCAGAATTTAGCACCTGAAATGATTGTCTGTGGGTCAGGAGGAGGCTGCTATTATCTGAAGGCTGTATTGGGCGGGTTCTAACCTCCATTCCAGGCTTACTCATGTGGCTCTTCACAGGCTGCAGCATAGTATCTGCTTTGTGCAAGAGAAAGTGATTCGAGACAGCCCATCAGCCCTATATAAACTGATCACAAAAGTGACATGCCCCTGCTGTATTTTATTGGTTACGGAGAGACTGATGCATGGGAAGAGAGTGTGAGTTCGAGAGTATTCTGAGAAATGGAGATCACTGTGACCATCTTGGAGCCTGGCTTCTACTGTGTGTGTGTTGTGTGTTGCTAGGAGTTGAACCCAGGCCAAGTGCTCTACCCCTGAGCTACATCCCTTGCCTCATCTACAGCTATTTTCAGTATTTCCTTATGCTTCACTCTTGGGTAGTTAATTCAGAAGTGCAGCCATTTTACTAATAAGTACCCTGGGAAGGTAAGTTCTTTGTCCCACTAAAATCTGGTTGGTTGGCAGGAAGTGAGGCCCATGTCTAAATATGGATGGTTTCTTCCACAGGGTCTTTTCTTTGAGAGAGTCTTGAAGGCACTGTTATTAATTATTCAACATTTAATAAGTATCCTAACAATTGTGGGGAGCATCTAAATGACCCAAGTCTCAAGGGCCTGATTTACAATCAGCCACTTTTCCTTAGAGGCTAAGGTTCTCTCTAGTTGGGAATAATATTTTCTTATCTTGGCATACATGTTTTAAAAGAGAGATTTACTTTATGTGTCTGTATATGTGTGCGTTTCTGTGTGAATGGATGCTGTGTGTGCACAGGTCCCCTCAGAGGCTAGAGAGGGTGTTGGTACAGGCTCTGTGACCTCCTGATGTGACCTCTGGAAGAGGAGGAAGTGATCTAAACTGCTCAGCCATCTCTCCAATTCCTCCCTGCCCCAAGTATTTGTAAGGAGAAGCCAGCCAGCCCCAGAAGTGAGGGCAGTGGATGGGAAGCTCTCCTGGCCCATGTTTGCCGTGCTTGGGCGGCATGTGTTGTTGGAGGTAAAATCAGGTGCTGCAGACTTGTGAGAAGAGGCCTTTTCCTGCCTCTTTAGACACTGGGATTTTCATCGTAGCTGACAAGGATTTAGGTTTGGTCCTGGGTAAGAGGCATAAAGGTTTTGACAGGCGAACACAGGGCCAGGTTATTGTGGAGTGGGGAATTGCTTTCTCTGACCTCAGGTGGTGTCATCACCAGTGTAACAGACACTTCTTCATGGCCTCTTTGGTTCTGGGGTGAATGCTCAATCTGTCAGCTTCTATGTTGTCCAAATTGTGGTACAATGGGAAGAATTTTTCTTGTCTACCAAAGGCTGGATGGAAGAATTCTTCTGATGCTAGCTAACCCCCCCAGCCTTATATTACTTAATTTCCCCCTCCCTAAAATGTTTAATACCACTTGACCTGTTTCTCGTCTTTTTTCCTTTTGTTCATATATTCTGAACATTTCTTCTGTGACGCAGCCTTCGCCTTCAGTGTGCATTCTGGGACTGAATACTGGACCCTTTCAACCCCCGTCTTTGGTTAACCCCTCTCCCCACATCCCACCCGCTTCACTGCCTACTTCCTGACCCTTCCTTCCACCGAGGTGTCCCTTCCTTGTACATTTCATTCACTGGGTGTGGGAATCCAGATCCTCCCCCTTTATCTTTTGAACGCCTTTTCCCTCCTTTAAACCTTTAACCTTCAAACCGAATGCTATATAATGAACTCTGAGACAGAACAGTCAGGAGATTCTGTCTTAAAACAAAACAAACAAAGCACAACAAAAAAAAAAACTAATAATAATAAATACATATACTAAAGAAAGCTAACTAATACCATGGATCGAGTAAGCAATTTTCAACTTTGTAGCCTGGGAGTCCAACTTGACTTCTTCCTGCTCAAGTCTCTGGAATGTCCCCCTGGCACTCATAGTAAAGGCCAGTGTTCTCAGTGGTCCTTCCAGGCCAACATAGTCTGACCCTTTCCCTGTCCCCTCCAGGCTGTTTCCTGATTCACCCTCCCTTCTTTAGGACTCTTTACTGCAGACATCCATTTTGCCACCTCTCTCATTTCCATAAGTCTCAGATTCGCAGAAAATCCTACCCAACAGCCAGTCGTCCTGAAGTTCCCTTTCCACCCCACTTTCTTTCTTCCGTAGCAGTGTATATTCTGAGAACCGGGGTCTTGCTTGATTAGTGAATAATCTTTGTGTTCCTAGAACAGTGTCTGACTCTCAAATATTTTCTGGATGAACAACAACAACAGCAGCAAAAATGAAGTGTGCCTCCAAGAAACAGAGTTGGGTGCTGCTCAGTTGTTTGAGTGGTTGCCCAGCATGTCCTTGACCTGAAGTTTAATCCTCAGCACAGCGAGAGCAGAGCTTGGTGGTGCTACACACACCTGTGATGCTCACACCGGGAGGGGAAGCAGAAGAATTAGGAGTTGCTGTAACAGAGAATTCAAGGCCAGCCTGTCTTTAAAAAAGCAAGAGGATGGAGGTTGGGGAGATGGCTCTGCCCATAAAATAAAGTGCCTGCCTGCTGTGTAACCATGAGGGTTGCACACATCAGTAACTCTGGAATGTCTTGGGACCCGTAGTCAGTCTAGCTGAACTGGTGAACTTCAGGTTCAGCAAGAGACTCTGTCTCAAACAGTACTTGCTAGATGTGATGGAGCACACCTTTAATCCCAGCACTCTGGAGGCAGAGACCAGTGGATCTCTGAGCTAGAGGCCAGAGAAGTGGGGCGGGGGAGGGGTCAGCATGATTGAGGACACTTGCTACTGACCTCTGGTATCCACACACGAGCACGTACATGCATCATGACATCATTTTGCCTTTTCTTTTTTTTTCCTTTGAGACAGGGTCTTGCTATGTAGATCTGTCTGACAAGCCTTGAACTCACAGTGATATGCCTGCCTCTGGCTCCTGGTGTTGGGATTAAAGGTGCGGCTATTATTATTAGTCTTCTTTCCCCCACCCCCAAGTGTGTGTGTGTGTGTGTGTGTGTGTGTGTGTGTGTGTGTGTAAGAACAACTTTTTCGAGTCTGTTCTCCCTTGATTTGTTGAGACAGGGTTTCTTGTTTCTGTGGTGCTACTTAATCCAGGCTGGCCGGCTGTGAGCTTCTGGGCTGTTGTGTTTTCACCTCCCATCTGGAGGTAGGAGTGCTGCAGTTAGAGCTGGACAACACCAGGCTTTCTTATGTGGGTTCCTGGGGATTTAGATCAGTTTGTCAGCATGCATAGCAAGTGCTTTTACCCACTGAGCCATTTTGTTGGTCCTCAGTTAAGATTCTTTTAAAAGGACATAAATCTTAAAAAGCAAACTGGCCATAGGAAAATGTACAAGCTTCATTATTGAAAAGACCCAGATATTTTGGCTTCAGGCATGGCTAAAATAGGTGATGATGATGCTGGGAACCGTCACTTGCAACAAGCAGAAAGGGCACCTCTCTGATAGTTTGGACAAAGCTCTGGCTGGTGTCTGGGCTGGAATTGGGTCAGATACTCACACCTGTTTGTGACTGATCAGACAGAGCTAGAATTTGGTTACCTTTGGATTATGGGACTTTTG